GGTTCCGTGTGGGTTCGTGGTTCGCCCGATTCTTGAATTGAAGTCCCCAACTAGAACTACTTCTCCCTTTCTCTTGAAGTTTTGTACATCCGCTGCTACCTCCTCGAAACCTATCCTGATGTCTTTCACCATATTCTTCGACTCTGGTGGCATATATACATTTCCTACGAACAAGTCCTTTCTTCCCCGTTCCCCTGGTACCCTTATCCACATGCTTTCGTTGAATTTGGTGTCGCTGATCACCTCAATTATGTCGCACATGTGCTCCTTGACAAAGAATCCAACTCCCCCCTCCCCTCTACTCTTGATTTTCTGTCCTCTCCTCATTTTACCTATCCATGTGTAGCTTCCCACTTCTTTTCCTATTTCTCCCCCGTCCTTCTCCCACGACTCTTGGACTCCGACTATGTCCAGGTCTTTTTCGGCCGCTTGCTCGGCAATTTCGAGTCTTTTACGCTCATCTGTGGCAAATCCGCATACATTCCAAGACCCTATTCTGATTTCTCTTACTCCTACTTTCTACTTTCCTGTGCCTTTCAGGATTCCTTTTGTCCCTCATTTGCCTTCCCTTCTGCCTTATCCTATCGCTGCCCCCCCCTTCTCCTACTTTGGCTTGCTTTCCCTTTTGACCCTTTCGGGCCTCCTGCCCCCCTTTGTTTTCAGCCAGCCTTGGGCTACGCCTTACTTCCTGGATCCTATTTGCTATGCACACCCTCCAACCTAGTCTCCTCACCCACGCCGACATCTTCTCTACTTCTAGTCTTTCCCATTCTGCGCTTACTCTCCTTCCAAACGTGATTCTAAAGTGGTTTCCTTCCCTTTCTACCCCCCCCCTTGCGAAACAATATAATCCTACTTGTTCACATTTACTTTTGAACTCCAACCTTGTCATGTCGCTATTGACCCCAAATATCAACACTACCAGTACTGCACCTGTCCATTCTCTCCTTCTCCACCCTTTGTGCCTCGTCGTCTCCCTCCCTATCTCTTTCGAGACTATCTCGTTCTTTGTGTTTGAAGTGGGATGCTTTCAAATTACTGGGACTTCCCAATCCTAGTACTTGTTGAGGGTCTGGTGTCTTTCAATTCTTTTGCCGGCTCACCGACACTAAAAAGTGCCTCCAACACGGGCTCATAGCCTGGAGCCAAGTTCAACACCCTTAGCACAAGTACCCCAAGTTTGTGCCAGGCGATCTGCATGGTAACCAACCCAAGCGTCCCACGACCGTTTCTTCTCTCAACTTGCCCCAGCTGCTGTACTGGGTACTTTCCTCCGGGGAGGTCATTTTCCCCATGTAAGGTTCAAGGGTGGCTTGCATAACAGAAGGTCTCACTCACACATCGGGATGTCCGTCTCTTCCTTGATTTTTATGACATACAAACATAAAAATCTCCTCCTCGTAGACGCCAGAGAGCACTATCTTCCCTGATGGCGGTCTAAGTCGACCCAGGGTTGATAAATGAGTTACGGTCATCAACGTTTGTACGGTACACCATGGGTAGCTACCCCACTAACGCTCCCGAGTAGACCTTCGCTGCCGAAAGCTTGACCAACAATCCCCCCACACTTTGTACCGGCGTCTATCCTTCAAGCTTCAAGATATCTACGTACCGCTTGGTGCTCCTTCTCTTTTGGGTCATTTGGTCGGTCAATTGAAAACAAGGTTCTTGAGTATGTTAGGTCTGACATTTTGTCTTGCATTATCCACCCCTCTCCTTGCGGAGAATTTAGGATAGTGCCTGACCAGATTCCCACCGCCCAATGGGAACCGGTATTGTTTTACGGTTATCTCACCACGAGTCCCCAACCTTCATGTGCATCGCACATTTGACCAAAAGGATTGCTGTGTCTATATTTATGCTTCGTTTCCGTTTTCGTGTTGGTATGTATGTAAGGTGGCCAATAACCTTCTACTCTTGCTTACTTTTGCGTTTTCAACTGTGGAAGAAAAAAAAAATAAAAATAATAATAATAAAAACAAAAATGGTCAAGCGTCTGGAAATGTATTTCGTTGGATTCAATTATTTCATATCTGGCTTGTCATGTTTGTGTTACGTTATGAGAAATAAAAAGTCGGTTAGGTCAATTATTTCATATCTGGCTTGTCAGGTTTGTGTTACAGAATGGAAAATAAAAAGTCGGTTAGTTCAGTTTTTCCATGTCTGGCTTGCCAGGTTTGTGTTACAGTATGGGAAATAAAAAGTCTGTTAGTTCAGTTTTTCCATGTCTGGCTTTTCAGGTTTGTGTTACAGTATGGGAAATAAAAAGTCGGTTAGTTCAGTTTTTCCATGTCTGGCTTGTCAGGTTTGTGTTACAGTATGGGAAAATAAAAGATCGGTTAGTTCAGCTCTTTCATGTCTGGCTTGGCGGGTTTGTGTTACGGTATGGGAAAATAAAAATTTGGTTAGTGCAATTATTTCATGTCTAGGGGCTGGTGGCTTGTTTTACAGCTTCGGTGCCACTCGACGCCAACCTATTCAAATTTTGCGAACAGGGGGGGGCTACCGTACGTGGGTGTGGCTCGGCACGACAAGCGCGAGCACGGAACCAAAAACGGGAAAGATGATGTAGCGCACAACGTGTGCGAGACGTGCTTACGACTCGACGGAGCAATGGTGGGGGCACCGACTGTTCTCGGGTTCATTGGTGTTTCTCCGGGTGGTAATCGGTGGTCGGGGAAAGCGAAAGGCGTGCAAAAGAGTCTGCTCTTAGATGCAGGTCATTGCAGGTTTAATTCACGACTTTTGACGGATCCTTTATCCCTCTTTTGAGCACCCCGGTTTCAACCTCGACCGCAGTCGTAACCGGTTTCGACCCGATCTAAACGCCACCGTTCGGTGTTTGTCCACTGCCTTACAGGTAGGTAGGTGCCCCATTGGCGGGCATTGGATAGGTCTTGGTTGGTGAAGTCATTGGACGTACCATGCGTGGCGGCGCGTGTGGCTCTTCCGGAATGCGTCAGACGCAACACAAGGTACGTCTCGAGATTTAGCCCTGTTCCGACACAGAGAACCACCAATGTCACCCCAGTCGTAAACTACCACTGACGCGTGGTGGCTTCGAGACCGCCGCGGGGCTCTTGAGGAGGCGCGCCACTACTTGCTCTGGTTTGTACGTTAAACTTTCACTGTTTCACTGTTTGACAGCCCCTATGGGTACACGCCCGCCGCAGTAATCATCTCAAACTGTTTTGTTCACAACTTAAGTGGTACCGGAGCTGAAAGTCACCCCCGTCACCCCCCCCCCTCCCCCTCTCTCCCTCCCCTCCCTTGGCTGTGCCCCCTCACCTCCTCCTTGACGATGGCTAGGATCTTGGAGTATGGCACGGGCTCCGTGGCGTCCAGACACTTCTGAAACTCCAGCACATACCTATTTCGTTTTGTTTAACAAGAGGAAAGTGCGATGGTTGGCGCTCGTGCTCATCAGTACAGAGTACTTTCATCATCGTAAAAATTGTATGGGCAGAAGGTCAAAAGAGCACTCTCATCACTGATAGTTTTGTATGGGGAGGTAGATGTCAACAGTCGCTGTGTCGATAAACAAAACGCGGCGGGCAAGGAGTACAAAACAACTTCCAGGGGTGCGGGCCGTTCGGCTATAGCATCATAGTTTTCACGCTCCGCTGACCGACAAGAAAAGCGCGATAGCAACTCGCGTGTTCGAACAGAATATCACCCCCCGCACGTCGACGTATTTGTCACCACGCAAAAAAAAAAAAAACGGGGAGAAGGAAACACCGAGGCCGAGATAAGCAACACTCAACAACAACAGACAGCAGTTAGTCGATCGTGCGGCGGTGTCACGGGGAGCATCGGAGCAAAACCTCACTCAGGAGGGAACAACGTCGGCGAAGAGGCGATGAACTGCCCCAGCTTGATGTACGTGGCGCCCAGCTGTTCTTGACACCCCGAAAACAGTTCGGCACAACAAAAATCGTCCGCGTGCGCACGTGATATCGTGGGGGTGCGTTGGGGGGTTGGGAGGCGGGGAGGAGGGGGGAGTGAGGTTTGAGGGGAGAGGCGAGTGACTTGACAGCGGCCGTGGAAAGTTCTCCAAGGTTGAGGAATGGTCGGTGCCGCTGGCCATCCGCATTTTGTCTCATCTACCACATAGCTAGCGAAGAGAAAACACAACGAAAACGGCTCCGCGTCTCTAAAAAAAACAAAAACCCATGAGCAAGAGCTATTAGATCCACGCAGTTGGGGCCCCGTCGACCAGATACGGACGGAGAGAACACTAAAGAACACCAACGGGTGCATCTACCACACGCTTTATATCCCATCATCCCAGAGCAGCAATTTGCTCTACAACTCCCCAACCAACGGGGATTCCACCGTCCACGCACCCGTTCGAACAGCAAGCGCAGCGCGCGCGCAGCCCCCGCGGGGTCCAGCTCCTGCCCCGAAAGGGCCGCCGCCGCCGCCGCCACTCCCCTGCCCGCCCCTGCCGCCGGCCCCGCCGCCGGCGGTGCTGCTGGCGAGGGCGCCGTGGCCGCGTCGCCGCCTCCGCCTTCGCTCTTGGGTCTCAGCAGCTTACCCCCCCTCCAGTCTCGCACGAGGTCGGTCAAGGTCAAGAGGACGGCCCTAAGAATTGTGCCAACGCCGTGGGTAATGTTTGTTTGTAACGATGCAACTACACAGGGACGAGAAGCACAAAGTTGGTTGACACGCGCCTTGGGGATCGGCGATGATCATGGGCACACACACACACACACCGCACTTGAGACTGACGTTCCATGCTACTTTAAAAAAATAACAAAGAACAACACACACACGTACAACATTTTTTTCCCCTGTGCTTGGAGACTGACGTATTTTCATTGGTCAGCCGGTTAGCGCGGTCGCTGTCAAGATGGGGGAACGGAGGCGATAACGACGTGTGTTGTACTGTACGAAAACGCAATGGTGCGGAGTGCCCGAGACGACAAAAGCGAACGCGGGTTGGGGGAACAAACATGGACCCTACAAACAATTCAGGAGTCCAGTCGGCTGCACGCAGGCAGGCAAGCAGGCAGGCAGAAGGCGCAAAGCGGCGAGTTCGCGAGAAGTCTCCTCAAACAGAAACGACAAAACACGCAACCAAACTTGCACGCACGAGGTTTCTCACGAATGTCCATACAAACGCACACGTACAATACACAGAAGGAGAGCACAAACACCCAAAATACTGGAGTAGCTCATTCCTACTGCTGTTGATGTCTCCTTGCGTGTCAAGTAGGTAGCCCGATGACTTGAATGGTGAAACTGCCGATATAGTGGCATCAAAATTTCTTGTCACAATCTTAACGTGTACATAAACCCGATGTATCGAATAGTGGCACTGCCCTGAATTGTGGAATATTCTCCTCTTGCCCCTTCATGCCACTATATCGGGCCACCCACTGCTGTACAAGAACCAAAGAGGCGACACTCACCGGCTGGCCCTGAAGCCACGGGCGCCTACGACCTGCGGGCCGGCATCTCGGAAGATCTTGAGGGCCTCGTCGAGCAGCTCCCGCACGTCCTTGGCAACCTCCGCGGCCGGCCGGCCCTTGTAACGTCTGCCGATCCTCTCGTTCCTCTCTTGCTGGTATATTGTTGTGTTGTTGTTGTTGTTGTTGTTGTCGTCGTCGTCGCAATCACACAACAATCGATGCGGCGGGAGATGGTGGCAATGTCGAAAGGAGGAGTGTACAGTAAGGAAAACCACACAAGTCATTTCGTGATTGATTGCGCCAATTGAGTGTGTGATCGTGTCCGGCAGAGACAGCAGGGAGCAGACGGCGACCGAGGTTGTAGACTTGGATGCCAAGCAAGGCCTACCTATTCCGGCCAACATACTACACAGTTTGCTTGGGTTCCCTTGCGATTCCGTTGAACCTCATAGCACGGGCATTGGACCTCAAGAAGGGGGGGTTCCCCACGCAACCATCCTGTATTGTCCACCTGCTCCATGCATACATATTAAGGAATAATAAAAACACACACAGAAAGACTACCCATTCGAGATATACCCACAGTCGAACGGGATGTGGTGGATTCTTTTCAGTGAGTGGAGGGAAACCGGCTGGGTACTGGACTTATTTCGAGTCTTTATGTTCTCGCTCGCGTGATGCGCGCATGCATATGAAGCCCCCCGTCAAAAGTGTGGTCTGTCTCCCGTTTTTGATTATTCTACTATTATCCCACCACTACCAACAGATAATAAAGTCAGCTAAAGTTATAGCGATTGACAACACGTTGCCTAGAATCACCGAGGCGCATCCCTCGGACTCTGTCGTTCGCAAAAGGGGCCTCGCTTCGCCCTTGTTGTCGGCGGAGGGTTGTCTATACCTGTACCGTAACATATCCTCTCGACGATTGACAGATGTTCAAGAGTGATCTATCCCACCGCAGCGGGTAAGTCCGGGTTTGAGTTTGTCATGACATTATGTCACCTGTTCCTTTTCCCGACGTGCCTCTTCCTCCGTGACGTCAGTGACATCGATCACGTCGACGTCGACCGTACGAGAAGAGAGAAGCAACGGCGGTAGGCGGGCCTCGGCTCTGCTGCCACTGCTGTGTCGGGGCCTGACTCGACGGAAAGATGATGAGTCACGGCGGCTGCTGCATCCTCTGACTGCTGCTACAGCGAGAGGAGGAGCAGGAGGGCTTGCGACGAACGCCGAAGCAAGGCAGACGGAGCAAGAACCCGCGGCAAGAGCCTTGTATAGAAATCCCATGGCACCAGTGCTTGTGCTGTAGTCAAGGCACAGCAGTGCCGAGGGTCAGAGAAAGTTGTGCTGTGTGGTTGTTCGATCCACCGCGATCCCACCGCCGGGGTTGCTGTCTCATGACCCCACTTCAACTCCTCCAATCTGCGTGGTTCCCCAGTTGCACCGCATGCGCCCACCTGTCAGCACAGCAGTAGCGCGACACAGGACACAGCAGCGATCGGCAAGCCAAAGCGGGGGGCCCACGACAGGATAAAACATGGATGCGACATGTTGGGTGTGTCAACGCTGTGGGCACGAGGTGAGGGCTGTGACGAATGATGTGTGTACACGCAGCAGCAATGTGTATTTTTGGCATTTACTTTGTCCGCCATACTTGACATGATGGATTTTTATTTGCGAAATTCTCTTTCCGTCCCACTTCCATACATACAATAGTCTTCGTCGTGTACGTTCCATGCAGCCCTGCCTCGGGGTGCTATCAGGTTGAACCTCATGCACTATGCATAATTTTGAAATAGATAACCGTCGCTCGCGTCTTCTCTGGCCTTATCGAGGGTTGGTCTAAACCACGAGTACAGCAGTGGTATGCATAAATACCGCGAAACCAACAATCAGTGGGTGTCGGCTTTGTAAATCGGGAGCGGCGTGCACTACGATTTACACTCGCGTAGTTCAGCTGAACGTGGTCACCGCGACTGTCTGGCTCCCGCCCAGAGTTCTCAAAATGATATGTGCGTCCAAAGGACAAGTGTAAGTTTCTGGGAAATTCTCACGCGATAGAAGTACTCACCAAGAACATGTGGCAAGGTACTGTAGACAAGAGCAGTGTTCGACGTATCGTACCTTTCTAACTGCTGTTCCAGCAGCTGCGCGCTGGCCATGCTCATTGAACTCAGGGTAGTGATGCCAGTGTTGACCAGACTCATCTCGTACTTGATCGTTTCCCTAGCAGCATCTCCGCCAACACCCGCGTCAATGTATTCGCCACGCGTCTACGTCGATTGGACAGGACGTCAGATTTGGTTATACTATTTAGTGCGTTGGATCCGCCCGCTTTATACGCTTACTATTTCGACTGCATTTTTTTGTACGACTTGCGTTGTTTCTCGAAATACCGCATTGGTTGACGCTTCAGCCGCGGCGCGATGGCGCTGCTTCGCGTGTTTTTGTCACGTTCCGGCCCAACCTATGCGTCGGGTTCCTCGTTTGGTGTTCCCCTTTGTTACGAGTTCCGGATTTTCTTGTCGAGTACAACTGGAACATGCGGCGGGACTCTTAATTCAAAGAAGTTTGTGACCCGCCGCTTAAGCCCACGCCTCAGCTCCCACCTGGCAGAAAACCCCCTGTGCCTTTGGGCTTTGAACGTAGAATTGGAGTGCTTTTTGAGGTTTTACTAAATACGACGCCGCTATCAAATAATGCGTCGTTCGCTCTTCAACGACGAGTGCTGACCAACTTTGCGACAAAGCAGAAGCCGGGGGGGGCGAACTCCACTGTCGCACTCCAAGCTGGCTGCTATTTGTCATGACCAAGTTTAATAAAACCAGAATTCATGACCAAGTTTTAATAGAACCAGAATTCAATGTACAGACTTAATTCAACAGACTCCAAACAAACCCAGTTTCCAGCCGGTTTCCCTCATCTCTCTGAAAAAAATGACTTCAGCGCATCCCTTTCGACTACGGTGATGTCTCGAACGGGTAGTCTTTCTAAAAGCAGCCCCGCATTGTCTGTCCGCATGCCTTAACTCGCTCCTTGCCCCACCGAAGGTGCCGATTGACAACCGCGAGGTGCACGAAGCGCAATGCCGGCGTAACTCGCCGGCCCAACTGCTTTCACCGCCGCCGGTGACAGGTTCCCCGCCATCCCCGTTCGATCCCGACAACCAGCCTTTCTCCCGAAACGTCTTCACCCCTGCTCAGCCTCCGGCGGCGGAGGCGGCTGCGAGGGAGTCGGGGCAGCCGTGGCGAGAGGTTGATATTCGGGCGGCAGCTGCCTCCGCTGCCAATAGGACGGCCAGAGCTGCGGCGGTAACGTCGGCGGAAGAGCGGGAGCGGAGGCAGCAGGAGCAGCTGCAGCAGCGGCAACAGCGCCTGCGGCGGCAGGTGCAGGAGTGGGAGCAGCGCCAGGACTGGGAGCGATCGTTCACTTCTTCTTCTTCTACCGACGCTTCTTCGGACAGCGGGTTCGCGGCCGCCGGGCGCGGCGCAGCTTCGGCCGCCGCCGCTACCGGGGCTCGGGGCGCGTCGTCCACGGAGGGCGAGGGCGAGTCGGGCGATACTACAACCTGGGCCTGCGCTGCGTGCACGTACCTGAACGACTTTGGCGTGTCGCGATGCGACATGTGCGGCACCAGGATGTCCCCCCAGCAGCGCCCACCGGATGCCACCTACCGGGACACCCTGATCGGCGGTGGCGTTAGCGGCGGGCGGCGGCGGAGGCAGGCGGGGGCGGCGGGCGATCTCGAATCCGCTGCCGAGGAGGCGCGGTGCAGGATGTTGGCGGCGGCGGCCGCTGCTAGGGAAAGAAACGGCGTCAGCACTAGCGGTGGCGGGAGCGGGGGCAGAGGGGGCGAGGACGACCAGGGCCTTCTCGACGGCCGGACCACCATCTCCGGCGCCGCGGCAGGGTCCGCCATCGGAGCGATCGGCGGGGCACTGCTCTCGGCGGTGCAGCCCGGCGCCCGGGCGTCCGGCGTGATGTCCTCCATGTTCCAGGGCGCTCTCATGGGCGGCATGGCGGGGGCCGCGCTCGGTGGCCTCAGCGATGAGCCCGGAGCAGGCGGCGGCAGCGGCGGCAGCGGCGGCGGCAGCGGCGGCGGCGGCGGCGCCAGGAGTTCCGACGACGAGTTTCGAAGGCAACGGCGGAGACAGGTGTCTTCTTTCGAATTTGTCCGAGGTCCGACGGCGCGCGTGCGAAGAGGAAGGGACGTGGTCTCGGAGATGGAGTCTCTGATGCTGGCGCGACGGCTGGAGGCGCTGAGCCTGCCGGCATCAGCGGCGGCGATGCGACGTGAAGGGGGCGGGGCGGGAGCGGGAGCGGGATCATCGATATATGCAGGGATCTTGCGACAGCTGGCGGAAGCGCAAAACCACGACGCCGCCGGCGGTGACGCCGGCGGGGGGGGGGGAACAAGTCCCGCCTCCGCCCGGGCGATCGCGGCGCTACCGGGGGAGGCGCTGACGGCCGGCGCGCTCGCGCACCTCAAGGATGACGGGCGGCAGTGCTGCATCTGTCTCGAGGACTTCGAGGCAGGGGAGAAGGCGACGCGGCTGCCGTGCCTCCACCTGTACCACACCGTGTGCATCGAGAACTGGCTCCAGACCTCGGGGACGTGCCCGCAGTGCAAGTTCAGGGTGGACTGAGTTTCGCCCAAAGTTGACTGTCGTTGAGAATTTAACGCTTAGCCCCTCTTGACTTGACTTGGCTTGACTTGGCGTAAGTGTTTGAGAGTACCCCTAAGCCCTCTTGATCTTTGAGTTCCGGCTTGGCGTAAGTGTGTGAGAGTAACGCTCGACCCGCTAGGCTTGTCTTGACTTGGCTTGAGTGTTGAGAGTAGCGCCCACCCTCTTGACCTTTTGAGTTGACTTGGCTTCGTGGGCGAAGAGTAACGCCCAAGCCTGTTGACCTTTGAGTTGATTTGGCTTGGGTGTTGATCGTATCGCCTTGCTATATCGTTTGTTTTTTTCTTGTGTTGCCCCGGGTGTCTTGGCTCGGACCAGCAGGCGCACGGTTGATCTTGCCCAAGTACCTCTGCTTGCCGAACGCAATACTCGCCTTGCGCGATGCAATGCATGCAGACGGGGCTCTCCCGCGGTCTGCATGCATGCATGTAGGCGTTGTCACTCGAAACCTTTGAGAGGGCGGCCCAGGCGACGTGAACCCGCTTGACGACCTGATTTTGTTTGAGAATAACGGTTGTTTGGGGTGGAGAGGGCTGTGTTTTTTTTCGCTTTTTCCCGGGTCTTGGCTGGGCTCACCAATCACACGGTTGGTAGTTCACGGAAGACCACACTACCATGGTATGCCAGAGTGGTGCACTTGATTTGGTACGGTGCGGTGTAGACGGGCCCCTCCCGTGATACCGTACGGTGCGTTGTCCCCTCGAAATGTTTTAGGGGGTTCAGGGGTGGTTCAAGTCCGAGCGCGACACTGTTTAGAAAGAGCGTCGTCCAAGAAAAAGGGGATAATAGTTTCTGATAGTTGCTGCATACACTCTTCTCGCAATCACATCGAGATCGCATGCAACGCGAGAAGGAAGGCGCGCGCGCGAGGGGGGCGGGGGGGGGGGCTGAGGGAGGTGGGGGTATTCTGCGTGGCCCTGCCTCTACCAGATTGGCTGGAGACAGACTGGAAACTGGCGTAAAGAACGAATGGAATGGGAAATCATTTTTTTTACTCATGAAATGCACCTTTTACGTATTGTAAATATCTACCTTTTGTATTGGAGGCTTGATGCCCTTTGGCCGGCAAGGGTCTTGGCGGGGAGTCCCTTGGGCTAGAGCTGTGTTGTGCCCGGTCTTTGAACGAATACCAAAAGGCGGTTTTAGCACCGCGAGAAGTGTGAGCGAGAGATTCCACGTGCAGAATTTTTTGAAGGGCGCTTCTGTTGTGTTTTTTACACTTTGTCGCACGATGGCGTGTTCGCTGGTTGTCTTTTAGCCCCAACGAACAGAACAGCGCGGCGCAGCAGCCGTAAGACTACATTGTCAAGCTGTTCGCTGTGACCATGTATGCGACGACAGCGAGAGAGTGTGCGATCGATCTGGCTGTGTGCGTCTCTCCTTCTCCTGGTTAGGACTCGACGGAAGCAGCAGAGCAGTGGTGGGACACGCACACGATGGGCATGGGCTGCGTGTAGACTTGTGGCTGTCGGAGTATTAGCACCTGTGGACGGCGGCGCGTAACCCCATTGGTTGTTACCGTGTAGAAGTATTTTAGAGCGAAAAAAGTAAAATTGACCCATTGAGGAACAGAAAAAAAGGCCCACTGAAACCTCAGACGTCACAACCTAGGGTTCCCTTTCTGCAGAGGAACTGACTGAGGTACAAACAAGGCAGTTCTTGCTCGGTACCGAACGTCCGGTGATGTTGCCCAGATATGTCGGCTCCGAGCCGCCTGTGGATATTGTAACTACTTTGGAATACTTGTGCACACCTCATCCTCTCCACCCGTGGGTGACGCGCGAGCCACCGGGGAAAGAGCGTAACGCACGGGACCAACTGGTACCGCGCTTAGCGATCTATGCAGTCATCAAACATACGGAGAATGTGGCTTAACAGCAGTGTTCGCGCGACATGCACACTTGCCGCAAGCACCGCCCCGTCGGTCGTTCGGAAACTCACAACATCAGCACACCGACGAAAACGACAACATCGCCACTAAACAAACGTGTGGATGGCAACAGCGGCAACAACGAGGAGGGCGATTCACACAGATCGATCTATGTAGTCGCCGAGTGGGTGCAAAAAACAGCCACGCGAAGAAGAGGGTCACCATGCCGCTTCCTTTGCAGGCGGACACACCCTCAAGTCAAAATGATAGATATACGACATCGTGACCCAGCCGATGCAAAGCTGTCTAAGCACGCGCTCTTGTCTGCATTATCTGGCCAGTCAACTACTCGACAGGCCGACTGACGCAATACGGCCGAAGGGTGCCACGCGAGGAACGCAAACCTAAACAGCAACGCTGCCGGGGCTCCTAGGCACGAATGGGGCTGTAGAAACTCCTGATCACGTGATGGCATCCCCCCCCCAACGCGCGACCTCCCTCCCTCGTCGAACTTGCAAAAAAAAATATCGCTCGGCTACAAACACGTAACCCCGAAGACACGAGAGATACATCGCCACCCGCACTAACGCCGGCAAAGGGCATCTACTAGACCACGAACGTATCATGCGTTGCCCACATGCGCTGTGATCAAGACGAAAGCCCTTCGATGGCAACGGCATTGTTGCAAACGCAGTTGATGTATGTCGGCGCTCTCCGCATTTCTTGGCCGGGGGGCGACGCAAAATTAATGGATCGGACAAGAAGGCGGGTGTCATCTCATAAGGCCCAGGAAGACCCAGATGCAAACGATCAACATGATGAACACCTTGATGATGATGCCCCGGTTGCCGCTCGTAATCTGGTAGTACCTGCGGGAAGCAACAGCAACCAGAAAGTGCGAACAAGTCGAAGAAGCGAGGCGCGTTGAGAAAAAACAAGAGTAGCTATGAATACCAACCAACGCGAATCAACACAAGCACCTTGCGATTTGTGCCTCTCTCTCCCCCTTCCGCAAGGTGGTACCGCAAATCGGAAGTCTTGCGGAGCAGTAACATGAACATGTTCATGCGAAGCAGCAACATTCCAACATCTTTCTGCGACCCGCCATCGAAAGCAAAACCTCGTAATGAATATTCTCCTGCTGACGAATTTTCGTGGTTGGACGGCATGTTATATCCCATTCCCCAGGATACTCACTTGGCGAGGTGCGCCTGTCCCTCTTCGGCGAAGGCGTGAGCGGCCTCGACGTCGTCCTCGATGTGCATAACCACCTCCTCCTGCGCCGCCACCATCGTCGAGAAACGGCTGAACATCTGCCCCAAATCGCCGATCATCTTCTCCACCTGTGTTTTTTGTTTTTTCAAAAGTTCGGTTCGTTCGAAGTGTGTTTAAGAAATAATAAAATAGAAGTGTATTTGTTTTTGTCAGGTTTTCGAGACGCGGGTTAGGAGATGTAGAATGAAAAAATATCGAATCGACTGACAGCACATTTTCTGGCATCCCTTCCCCTGTCTACTTTGGTGTCGGCTCAAGCTTCACCCTCTCTTCTTTCTTCACAATTTGCGCCTTCTTCGCAGTAAACGCCGTTGTCTGGTGGTGCCGTTTTGTGGAGTTCACGCTGATCCCATCACTCAACATTCACGGGTCAGGGGGGGGGGGGCACCCCTCGCAGTCCTGCCGTCCCGCCGAAGTAACGCTCATAAAGCAGGGCGGGTCCTGTGGAGGCGGCTGTAGTGGCGGGAGTCGGCGTAGTCTGGGCAATAACAGCAGCATCGGCTACAACAAAGGCTAGCGTACGTTCGTACCATATATAGAAGCCGAAATCAAACCATTAGACTTATCAGCGCTGACTATTTAGTTTAATGGTTTGATTTCGGCTTCTATAAAAGTTACCGTGGGGCGATTTCGGCTTCTATACATACAAGGTAAGCAGTAGTTTTCGGGGGTTTGGATGTGTCTTTTACCTTGTGTGATTCGTCCACTCTGGTCTTGGAGTCCTCTTGGACCTGAACTTGCCACGCCGCTCGGCGGGACTCCTCCTCCGCATCACCCCCGTCCTCTCGCCCTGGGGGGCGACGTGACGTGACGCGGTGTGTGGCGTGGGAGGGGGTGCTTTTGGGCTTGGATTATGAGCCTCTCTGCTGCTTGTCGTACAAATCTCGTTCACTCTATCTCAGCGAACGAACGCAACAACTCGGTGGCTTGTTCGTTGTGAACACAAGCACCAAAACAATGCGCCAGAAGGGAATTGCGAAGGAGTGGTGCACGAAACGAAGCAGGAGAGTACGACTGCACATGCATACTACAGAGAGAAGGCAACCAACCACTGCATAAGGCGTTTAGACGCACGGAAAAATCAAGACGAGAAAGTTGGAGGAACTAGGACAGAAGCCGCCACGAAAGAGTAGCACCAGCACGGTCCCAAAGCAACATCAAATGAATCGCCAAAGTAACACATGAGCCAGTATAGTGCTGGTGCTGTTTCCTACAGGTGTAGACAAAAGGAGCAGAAAGGCGAGAACGCTAAACCGCAGAAAAGCACGCTGACGAACAATCCGTCAACGCAAACACCACCCCCTCTCCCGCTCTCCACGTGCAGCACTTTCCGTGTCCTGCCGGTGTTCTATCAGAGCTCCCCACCTGGTCGTTTCCGCAGCCCAGTGGCGCGCCCACCGCCTCTAGACGCCTCGGTCGGAGGAGCCGGAAACCCTGGCGGAGCCGCTGCATGCGCGCTCCCGCTGCCACCCCCCGCAGCCGATGGTACGTAACCGTTGGCACTCCCAAAGGGCGGCGCCGTATGAGGCCCCGCCCTGAACCCTCCATTGCTGTCTGTTCTTGCAGCTGCTGCTGTTGCTGCTGCCGTTTCTGTTGCTCGTGGCATTGCTCCGACGGTGTCGTACCCTCCTTTGCCAACGCCCGTCAAAAAATTGTTGCCGTTGCTGTTTCTCCCCCCCTCTGCCGACCACGGCGGGGGCACCGCCGATTTCTGAGGCCAGGAAGAGCCGCCTGTACCTCCCCCCCCCCTTGTGCCTCCATTGCCGGAAGGGAACGGCAACACCGACGCAGCCTTTCCGCCTCTTCGGGGCCCGTGTTTGTGCCCCTTGTTGTCCTCGTCGTCTTCGTCGGGGGCAGGCGACGGGGGGGACGGCAGATTGGCCGTCGGGCGGCGGCGTCGTGCCCCCCCCCCGGCGCCACCGGCGCTGCTTCCGAAAAAAGGGTAATCCAGCTGGGTCGCGGGGGCGACGCCCCGGGAGTGCGAGAACTTTCGCTGGCGTTCGTTCTGCTGCTTCTCCACCTGGGTTTCGTTTCAAGCAAACAAACCATCGTGAATGATCACGGGGGTTGGTTGCGGTTCACCTATCGTGTGTAGGCCATAATAAATGTGCGCGAATCATCACTGCATGGGACTTACTCCATACTGAGATCGATAATTACAGCACGCGCATCACGACGAGATCCAACAGCGACTCCACTTATCCTATTCGACAGACCCAATGTCAATGCCACGGAATACCACGACACGGAACGCCAAAATGAGGACGCGCCTATCAAGACAAGCCGGGAGAGCCTTTTCAACCGCAAGAAATACCACCACTTGCCTCTCTGGGTACCACGCATCCGCTTCCCTCCGACCCTGCTCTCCTCCTTACCCCCCGAGGGAAGACAACCTACATGTACCCTAATCCATGTCACAGAAAGCGGCCATACGCGTCGCAACCTTCTCTCCTCTTCACGCTCACCGCTGCTCGCAGCAAGAGCGCGTCACGAAAGGCCTTTGTGTGCTCCTGCGCGCTTCTCCGAAGCGTCGTCACGATAAACGCGCAGTGCATCTGCCGCTGGCTGTTGGCCGGCGGGCTCCCCCTGGTGCCGCCATCTGCGTGCCTGATAAATTTAGTACGGACAGACAAGGGCAGTTTGAGAGGAGGAAGGGAGAGGTTGGCGCGGGGTGGGGATAAGCCGCGTGGAAAATAAAATTTGACTGTTCTTTTTCTCCGCGACGTATGGTAGAGTCTCCGTCGTCTGTTTTGGAAAGTGTGCGCCCCGCTTCATTTGGTCAAACAGCTCCTGTCGCACAATGCAAGACATTGAGGGCCACGTATTTCATCACGCACGGGGTCGGAGGATGAAAGAAACGCAGCCTGCTGACCTCACCACAACCAAACGAGAAGCGAAGTGAAAGGGCAACGGCCCGAGAGCCACAGCCGTGGTGTCGTAGAGGACCCATCTTGCACATGATGACCATGCAGGGCCAGGCGATACTATCACGGTCTATTCCCGGGTGGCTTTCCGTCGAAGAGTAGGTACATTGCGTAAGGGGAAATGTTAATATTTTCCTCTCCCGGTGTGCGTGCGTGATGCGCACGCCAGACCCACCTCTGCAGCGACGATATGTCTTTCTGTAGGCCGGCCATGTCCCCCTCGAAGAGCTTCATTACGTCGCTTATCTCGGCCGCCGGGTTGTTGCTGAAACCCTTGCGCCCGACGAGCTTCTTCAGCCGCCCGATCTGATGCAGGAAAAAGAAAAAGAAAAAGACGGGAGTAGGGAGGCAGGCCCACATATGAAAACAACTCATCGTCTCTCAATTTTCTCGAGAGAATGAATTTGCTTCCGAAGCAGGTGATACGTGCGTTATACTATTTGGTGAAAAACAGCCGCACGTCAATGATGGGTCGGAAAACGTGGCAGTTACAACCGACCCAGCAACGCATACTTCGTGCCCGAGAGGCGGTAATATGCGTAAGGAGGCGGTAATATGCATAAAAAACGTAACACAGTTGGCATTGTTGTCATCACTATCATACACATTTGGCGACCAGACGCTACCGCTTGTCAGCCCTCTCGTTGGTGTTACACCGGCCTGTACGACATCATACAACGGACGACCGCTGCAAAGGCCGCGTGCTCTGGTTGCCAGTCAGTGTCGTCCTGTTTGTTCCTCGTGAGAGCGTCATAAATTATACATGCAGCAGTAGTAATTGTGTGCCTTCATGATTGGTCGATTTGTCTGCTGGGCACGACACTTGAGGGGTTTCAATATAACTGCTGCACATCCCCAAGCACAACAATTAGGCCGCCGAAATACCAGCAAAGTGTTCAGCAGGCGTGCCAAATGTTTCCGTGCAAGAGAAGGGTTGCCTACCGGACCTGCAATTGTTGTTGCCTTACGCATACTCTTCGTCGAATTCCCCCCACAAGGTCTCGGCAAACAACCGGCGTGTAGCGTATGTGCAACTCAATGTCCCACCTACAGCTGTAGTACTACGACGCAGGCCTTAGCAAACGTGACCCTCGCGCTTCTCTACCAGCTAGCAAGAAGTCCCTACTACCCACACCCTGTAGCTTCTGGCAGGCCAGAAGACACCCACCAGCCTGGACGTGCCCTCGAAGCCGACTGCAACGCTCGCAGCGAGCTGGAGAAACTCCGACGTCTTTCTATACCCGAGGTCGGTCTGCGCCCTGATTGCCGCTGCCTCTCCGCTGTTGTTGACCACCGTGACTGTGGGACGGAAGGCACTGACAGCGCCTTGGAACTCCTCGGTTCGGTCCGTCATGGTCATGTCTCTCTACCTCCTCTTGACAGTCTCGCCCTCTCGCTCCTAGGACTACCGCTGTGCTGCGCTCGGGAGAAGGGGGCGGACGGCAGGCGGACCAAAGGGAAAAAAGCCTTTTTCCATTTTTTGTCCTGTTCCTGCCGTGCCCCCTCCCTACCAAGGCCTACGGAGATCAAACTAGAAAGAGGGGACGGCACAGCTGCTGTCTAAGGGGAGAACCTGCCCAAAGAGCGCGGAGGTGTGAGTGAACGGCAGACAGAGAGAGAGAGAAGGATCTTTTGGCTCCTCAGCGTGTTTCTCCGGAGCGAGAGGCGGACGAGGTGAGAGCTACTTGGCGTATCGTCGTGCTCCTTTTGGTCTCCCAGGACAGGGGAGGGCCGAACGGCGGCGATTTCGCACCAGCAGGCCTGGGGGTGGGTTTTGCCCTCCGCCCGCAAAGCAACCGGGAGCGGAGATCGCGCTTTCGAGCCTGGATAGAGTTGCGTTGTGAGCAGCACGGTGGTAGATCCGGCGTCATGGCTACATGACGGAGCCAGTCATTGCCGTGAAATCCAACCTTCTTCGTCTTTCCCCTCTCTACAACCTCTGTTTTTCCCCCAAAGCTGGTTGTATTATCCGCCCCGCCTCTCCACTCCTCGCCAGCTTGTTGCGGCAACGCGCCCCGATGAACATGTTTGTTGTTGTTTCCAGTCCACAACCAGCGCGCGGAGTTTTCTCCTCGGTTGTCTTGCGTGCTCTTTGTACAAAATCAGATCATCACACGTGTCAAAATTCATCATCCGACAGATACACAAGACAGAGAGAGAGTGATCCCGCGTCCGGCAGAGGGGGGAGACGCGCTCAGCAGGGGCAGCCAAAGCCACAAATAGCGACCTTGTAAAACTGCTATCTCTCTCCCATCGCATCCTAGCTCCACGGTTTCGGTGCCCTCTGGTTACAACGTGGTTTGCGGTGTGTGCCGCGCCCGCCGCTGCGTGAGTTGCAACCCACTAGCGAATCCTGGCATGATTGCTGCTCGGCTCTGCCCGATGCCCCACACACTGAGACAATGCATGGGCCGTGATCTTGAACCCCACACATCAGAGATAATGTGCGTCTTGATCCCCCACACCTCCGAACAGCAGACTTTCATTATCCACCCACCGGATCAAGAGAGCGTTTCTGTTTGCGGAGCCCGGTGCATGCTGCGCTTGCTTGTTGCTCCGGCATGTAGCTCTGAGGTCACACCCACGCACCCACGAAAGCATCACAAGACCGGCAGACGAACAAAATGCCCGCCGGTGTCCGTCATGTACATGTACACTCGGCTGCCTTGACGACGCCCGCAAATATTTGAACACGCTCCAGTCCAACATGGGAGCATACCCTGCGAGTCTTCCTGCAATGGTAGCCGTACACGGCCTGAGCCACGGGACGCATGAGAAACCGTCGCACAACGTTTTCACCTTTGATCGACCGCTTCTACGGTACTGCTGTATTGAGCGCATTGCTTGGTTGTCTGTCTGCATGTGGGGTTCCGTGCCTACATAAAGACGCGAAGTGCACTGCTGCTGCTGTTGTTGTCCTCGCCTCGAGATGAGATCTTTTTGGTTTTCATTCCAGGCTTTCTTCGATCTTTTGCAAGACAGGGAATGGCTTGCACGAAACCACCTCCGCGGCAGACTCTTTCTCTTTGGCGGAATCGCACTGCTGTTCATACTGCTGTGTTTTCATTCGAAACCGGGCTCCCGGCGGGTGCATGAATCTAGCGAGAGGGAGAGGCGTTTCGAAACCAAGCTATGCGCATGTATTTTCAAGAAGTGAGTCACGGAGGTTTGCGCACAGATAAGAACGGCTCGATTATTGACGGTTCCCGACGAGAGCTGAAATCTTTGTCTTTGGCATGCATTAAGGAAAAGTAAATACACACACAGAGAGACTACCCATTCGAGATATACCCACAGTCGAACGGAATGTGGTGGAGTCTTTTCAGTGAGTGGAGGAAAACCGGCTGGGTACTGGACTTATTTCGAGTATTTTCAAGTCTGTACACTGATGCATCTTTTTTTTTTTACCCCTTGTATCTAATATGCACATTTTGTGTCCTGAAAGTCTGTCGGAGTGTTGGGAGTGTATGTACAACGTGTGCGCAATAGATACAGCACTGCTGTAGATGCGTTTTCAGCTGAAAATGGACAACGCTCCTGCGGACCGCGATGTGAGAATTGTCTGCGCATGTATTAGGAAGCATAAATACAAACACAGAATGACTACAAGTACCCATTCGAGATAAGACCACAGTCGAACGGGATGTGTTGAAGTCTTGACAGTGAGTGGAGGGAAACCGGCTGGGTACTGGGCTTATTTCGAGTCTATTTAAGCCTATACACTGAAAATTTTCGATCAGTGATGGCAGCAGGTGCTGATCACAAAATCATTGTATAGGTAAAAATACCACAAGTAGGCATGTGCATATGCATACACAGAACCCCCATTTGCTTTTCCGGGACTGCTTCCCACGAAGATTCCGACATTTTTGGCAACATACGTGAAGCTTGTGGCGAACCAAAACGCCGGTTTCGGCCGATTTTTCGGGCGGCCGGCCGGCAGATGGATCCAACTCGACAAGATATGCGCCTCTTGGACAGAGCAGTAAATTGTGGTAGTTTTCCGGCGGTTGCAGTCATGACACCCGCCGTCGCACACCGCGTGTATTTTCGGATCATCGCCCGGCTACGTAGTACATACGTAATTGTTGTTTTTTAGGAGGAGGAGGAGGGGGAGGAGCCGCTGCAATGCCCGGGTGAAGGTCTGCCGTCTACTTGAACCCGCTGATGGCCAACCATTCCGACAATTAACAGCTCAAACCTTTTCACTTGTAAGTAAATCAAATACCGTTCAGAGGCAGTCACCCTCTCTGAAGACCATCTTTTTTTTTTTTTTTTTTGGGGGGGGGGTGACGCTGGCACGGGAGGCACACGTTACAGCAGCAGGACTTTGATCCAAAACATTGGCTGACAAGTGTGGTGGTCGGGACGCAAATTGTCGGTGACAGTGATATTACCAATCCGAAGTATCGCCAAGGAGCCTTGTAACGACGACGGGCGATTGCTTCGATTTTTTGCCCGGCCTATCTTACGGTGGACCTCTCTCGCGCTTTCTCTCTCCCCCCCTCTCTCTCAGTTCCCTTTTTGAGACACGCTGCATGTTTACACGAATGAAGGACCCTGAGAGGAAAACCGTCGATCCTGTTGCTAGCATCCATGCACCAATGCACACGAGGCGTACTCAAGCACCACATCGTGGAAAGGTTCCGGTTCTTGACCCGCCTCATCATCAGGCATTGTGAGATGGGAGACCCTTATCAGCTTTATGTTGTTATGTGATCCCGCCAGGGGGGGCAGCACGCCCGGTCAAGTCAACAGCAGTTACAAGCACGGCCTCAAGATTCCCGTTCGTTCTCCTAAAGTGTCGTTTGCTGTGCTGCTTGCCGTGGCGGCTCCTCCTTGTCTGTCAACCTACCGGGCAAACAAGAGCAGCAGCGGCATCGCAAGGTTCATCGCGTAGCAGAAGAGCACGGGAGGAGAAACAACACGGGCAGTCGGCAGCAAACATCAGGAAGAGCAGCAACAGAGCAACAGCGGAAGCAACAAGCCCTACCGAGGCGGGGAGGGACTGGGCTAGCTAGACCCGCTCCGTGTAGAGTAGGCCGGTCGGCATGGCAGACTCCGGCACGGAGAGGGCCATGGCCCCGGAGGACATGCCCCGCCTGGGCCCGACGTGGAGCCGGGGAGGCGGGATGTTCAAGCCCCCCAAGAGGCCGGAAGGGCACGTGGAAGGGGTGAGTCACCACACGACTTTGGGCGGTGCATGATTTTGTTGTTGTTGATGCTGCTTTGTATCGGCAGAGGACTGACTGGTGCTGGGTATTTGGTGTTTATTTGAATTGTTTAGGCGTTTTTCGGAAGGAGGGGTTGTTGTTTTTTGCGGCATGAGACCAGGGTCTGGAGTCGGACTCCATGTACAATACTGCTTTTGTCTGATTCATGCGCCTCTCGTTTTTTTTGTGTCGCGTTATCGCAGTATGCATACCACGCGTGTAGGTTACGCCGGGGGGGTGGGGGACGGGGAATCTCCAGATGTAGATCAATCGGGAGGGTATGCACTGCAGTAGCGTTGCAACTGAGTTATCCACGAGGCCCCTGACGGTGTGTACGTGACTACGTGACACGTGAGTGTCCCCCCCCCTGGCAAACATGGGCCCCTCTTCTCCTGATGTAGGCCGGGAGGCGTGTTCTAGTGTTGGAAGCTCCTAATGTAGATCGGGAGATGTAGTATTGCGTTGGAAGTGACCCACGCACACACGCGAGTGTTCGCCGGAGACGGGGGGGAACATGAACGTGAGCTCGTCCCTGCTGGTCCCCCCTCCCTCCACCCCTTCCTCCCTCTCCGCCTCCCGCCGCCATCCCCTGATTTCGGAACCTACAGGAAGAGGGCGTTGGGACGGGGGCACCCTCGCCGGGCACCGGCACCGGGGGGGGGCGGGGGTCCACCCTGGCTTCCTCGGCTGCCGATCCCCCTTCGAGGAAGGCGCCGCCCGTCTTCGGGCACGCGGTAAGAAAGCGGTTGGGGGGGGTGACGGTTTGGTTGTTGGTGTGGCCGTTTTCCGGACGGGACTGATGTTCTCACGAAGAGCACCGATCGGTGTTTTTTGTTTGTTTGTTTGTTGTCGTCCTTCAAGTTGTTGGTTTCGCGATGGTTGCACTGCTGTAAGTGTGAGCCCGTCGTTGCCGCCGCCACCCCTGCATTCATCCCGCTTGTGTCGTGTTGGGGGCGCTTTTGCCGTATGCTCGTATGCTCTCACCTGTTGACCAAGAATTTTCTCTGCTCCTCTTAATCTCCCATTCGCAATCCTTTCAACACCGACAACAGGCAAGAGGCGGCTTAGAAGCGCTAGCCAGCGCCACAACTCAGCGCGGCTTCGCCCCCCGCGACGGCAGCGGCGGCCTCTCCGGGGGCACGGCGGCCGTGGAAACAGGAGGGGTGGGGGGCGTGCGCATCGCCGCCGGGCCCCCGCCGCCGGAGACGGGCGGAGGCGGACTGGGACCGCCGGGTCGCTGGGAACGGGAGCGCGCGGCTTCGATCGACAAGCGCAAGGTGTGTAGCGTGTTCTCGTGCGTATTTTGTCTGTTTGCATCTGTTGGGTTCGTGTGTGTTTCGTGAACCCCTGCGTCTTCCGTTTTGCATGTGTTGTGTTGCGTGTGTTCATTGCGTGTTTACCTATGTCTACTGTCGGTTTGGCTGAGAGCCTGTGGCTTTTGCAGAGTAATGCAGAGTAACGTAGTTTTTCTTTTGGAAGCGCCGGCTGCGCGCACTGGCTACTGACCAAAGATGTCACCGCCGACGCCGTGGCTGACGTGCGTGTCGTGGTCGATTAGTTGGGACTGGGAGGAATGTGTGCGCGCCACTCCCGGGGGATCCTTACTAGATCTCCCTTCTGTTGGCACACACGCCACCGATGGCTGTACGTTTGTCGACAATTTTCTTAATTCCCCCGCCCCTCCCCCCTCCCCCCCCCCGGACGAACGCCTCCTTTGACACCGGTGTGGTGCGACAAGGTCCAGCGCTTCTCCCCCGAGGAACTGCTGGCCCTCAGGAGGGCCCCCACGAGACCACTGGGCAAGATGCCCGTCCTGGGTGGCGACATCTCCATCATCGTGTCCGAGGAACCGCTGGAGCCGGTGACGGCCACTCCGGCCGATCAGGAGGCCATCAGCAGGGTAAGCGATTTCGGCCTTTGTTTTTTTTAGTGCTCATTTGTCGAGACAAGAATACAAGCGTGGTGCCTGGCGAAAAAAAGCGGTTGTGGTTAATTGTCAACGATTTGACCGATGTGTAGTTTTGCGAAGCTGTATGTGTGCATTCCTCAGCTGCCATGGGCATGGTGACCGGACGTTTTTTTTCAGTTTTTTTTTTTCGCCCGAGCTCTTGAACGTTAGTGCATGTTGATACCGCTCGAGGGAAGGTGTCAGGTGTGCGGGTGCGGTTGAACTCCAACCCGCCAGAAACGCGGTGTATGTCGTGTCTCCTCTTTTCCGACAACCTGGTAGCATACGCACACACGAATGGGTCCACGTTGGCGTGCACCTCGGGTTGCGTTTTTGGTGCACCCCCCCCCTCCCCTCCCCCGTCTACGAGAACGTAGACGAAGATTTAGGAAGGTAGACGATGAAGACGACAAGTTCAAATGTGAATGCGGCTCCGAGTGCGAAGACTCGGGTTCATGTAGTTGCGGAATGTCCGTTGTACAAGGAGAGGAAGTGTACATGACTGAGCTGGGAAAGTGGAAGGAAGATGCAGGGAGATGTTTGAGTCATGGAATAGCCAGGAGAAGATGGTAGCTGTACTGGGACATATGAAGTGGGTTGAAAGACGGGAAGCGATGTCGATAGGATAGATGGGCCAGGACAACATTTTTGAGCCACCTTTGGCGAGGTGGGAAGGAACGATTGGCCATTGGTGATCGGTCCTGTGGGAACAATGCTCCGTCCTCTCGAGGACGCGTGGTCAATGATCTAACCGCTACGGCATGCAAAACATGAGTACGCCCCCCCCCCCGTCCCCCAACTAATTTGTGTCCATATTCCGGGAAAAAAACGACCACAAACTACACCCGGCAGATTTGGGCCGCGGCGGCCGAGCGTCAACCTATGAGGGGCAGACGTTCTCGTTGGGGGGGAGGGGATGACGGACCGGGGGGCGGGGGCGGAGCCCCCCCTGCCCCCGGACACGGGGGTGGCGGGGGCGGGGGTCGCTGGGGCGGAGGGGGCGATCGTTCCCACGTACACCGGTGAGGATGAAGACAAAGAAAGGTGTTTTGCCGGTGCGACAGTAGAGGCGACGGCGGGTATGTGTGATCGGTGTCACGCGGTGGCGCGGGCGTCGGCCGCAAACGCCGTAGTTGCGAGCCCTTGAACGTGAAGCAGGGAGCTGCCAATTTTGGCATGTCCTTCCCTGTGTTCGAATACGTAGCCCACGCTGGAACGCACGGTTTGTTCTTTGGGAGTGCCGAACGTGCGCTTAGGCCTATTTAGTGCACCTTTGCACGTTTGTCTGGGCTGAAACACGTTGACTAGGTCCTATCGAGGCAGAAATCTCCCAGTCCCGCTTGGTGCGGTTCACAGCTGTTTTGTGGTGCCAATAATGTGTTGTTTTTTTCATTTGTTTTTTTACAGAGCTAATTGTGTCGGGTTGGTAGCGTCTATTATGGAGGGTGTTCGTTTGGCGTTGTGTTCCAAAGCTTGCCACTATCGATACAAGGTTTTGAACCAAGTGTTGGGGAAGTGTTCAGTGACGTGTGGTGTATGTCTCTGGGTGTGTAGCGACCCAGATGCGGAGGGAGCCTGTTGCCGTTTCAGGCGTGCAAACACAGAGGCGAGAGGATGACAGCAGTGTAATCGTGCGGAAACGGTTTCAAGTTCTCCTTGCGCGTTCGTTTCAGAGTTGGTTTCCTTGCCGAACGGTCGGTACTCGGTACTACACACCTGCTGCTGCCCTCTTGTGATCTATCAGAAAGGTTGCTGGACTCGAGACGAGGGCCTTCTTTTTCTTTTTGCTTCGCGACTAGCGCATAGATAACGTACCGGTGCGGTGTACGTGTGTGCATGTACGCATTAGCGTTGTGTTTCATTTATGGGTGCTCCTGTTTGTCGCTGCGCTCTGCCATGCCAGGCGCGAGAGCGAGGACGACTTGTGGGACGATGTGGGCGGCGGCGGCGGTGGAGGACACGCCGCAGATGGAAGCGGGGGTCTCCACGGAGTCGAAGGTACGAGCAGAGAGGGGGGGGGGGTTGAACCGTGGTATCTTGTGTCGTCGTCGTCGTTGTTGCTGTTGGTGTAGTCAGGAGATGATGCGGTGGTCGGTGTTGTTGGTTGTTGCCCTAGTGCTACCGTGAGTGCCGGCACTGAAGCAACTGGTAGTCAAGAAATTCAGGCTCAACAAAAAAAATCAAGTACTTGGCCATAAGAACAGGTGCTCAGTCAAGAAATTCAGGCTCAACAAAAAAAAATCAAGCACTTGGCCATAAGAACAGGTGCTCAGTCGAAACTCTACATGTACACTGTGATCTAATAGTTGCTGTTGGGGTCCCCATAGAGCGAAAATGAGAAACGAATCTCAGCAATAGTCTGAGGTTCGTGCTGGCACCAACAGTAGTGCTGTCTGGTGCGTTCGCCTTACGTGCCAACATACTAAAAGGAGTCTGCGCGTGTAACGTGAGTGACAGTCTGTTCGTTTTCATAGCTCGGAAGGAGGCCCGCGCTATCTATCCACACGAAAGCAGATAATGCAGCCAAATAGCTGTCTCAACCCCCACCACGACAGAGCATGTATTGAGGAATCATCTTGAGGGTGTTTCGCAGCAATCACGGCAGCTGTGTTCGTGCCCCCCCGCTGTCTCTCGCGTAGGAGGGGTAGGGTTGGTGTGCCACCCCCAAGAGTAACGAGCGGTTCATGGTCACGCGTATCGGCGTGAAACGTAGCACATGCGTCCCTTTTTACACCGCTTGCTGGCTGCTTGCCCCGCCTTCCTTCCTCAGGGATGGACCTTCTGTCGATGGCGCAGAAGGCGGACAAGTTCCAGGAGCAGATGGACAGCATGAAGCGCCGCATGGTAAGAGAGGGGAGATATTTCGAGAGTGGATGCATACAGAAAGAAATGCGGCTTGTCGTCTGTGTTTGTGTTGGTCCGAGCTCCCTGGCGTGTGATGCCGAATATTGGTAATAGTAAGTTCGTACACCGAGTTGGGTGCTATGCGATGCACGTACGTTAGCGTTTTTGTCCACGCGCGACGGATGCACTGGTGTTTGTGGAAGACGAGATGTTTGTCCCATAGTCGGGCAGTTGCCGCGCCTGTCATACTGTATGTTGTATTGAAAAGTGGTAGAACTTTAGTTGAGACCTTGCTTGACACACGCATGTTGTGTTCCGCTTGGCGGTGGTGGATTTCGTTCGTTTTCCGTTTTGCTCTGTTGTTGTTGTTGTTGCTGTTGTTGTTGGTGGTGGTGGTGTTCCCCGAGTTCGTGGACACGACTTTGTTTCTTGTTTTTCTGCACGGGTGTCTTCTGTCGTCCTGGTAGTCATGACCATCATAGTGCTCTAGATACACCATTAGGGGATTGGTGTGTTTGTACTACAATACGTGTCACGTGTTGTTTTTTCGTGTTCTTGACGAACGTCACGTCCCGCTTTTGCTGTGCCGTGTCATGTCTCGCCTTGTCTGTTGCCTCGAAACCCACGCAGGAGGGCGTGGAGCTGCACGAGCAGAAAGAGGAGGCGAGGCGCAAGGCGAGGGACGAGGACTTCCAGCAGCGCAAAAGGACCGCCTCCGTCTCGTCCTCTTCCTCCGCGTCTCAACTGCAGCAGCAACAGCAGCAGCAGCAGCAGCAGCAGCAGCAGCATGCGACGGAAGCTCAGCCCGCGTCAGCGGCATCGACGACAGCAGCAGCAGCAGGACCGACCTCGGTGTCGTCTACCCCTTCTCAACTCCAGCAGCAACAGCAGAACGCCGAACGCTCTCTGGCGCAACAGGGGGGGGCGGGGACGTTCGAGGGGGGCTCGCGGATTGGATCGCAGGGGAATATGGGGGCGATGGGCCCCGGCGGTGCCGCTCCCCCTGCTGCTGCTGCTTCTGCTGCCGCTGCTGAGGTGAGAGATATTAGAGAAGAGGGGGTGGTGGTCGGAACGGAATAAAGGTTAATTTTCTGGAGGAGGACGACCACGTCCCGCGGAAAGACAAAATTGTTTTTGAGGCTCAGTGCCATCACGTACAAGCCCTGCCTGTGAGGCATGAAGAGGACGTGAAAGAAAGACGATGTAGATGCCGATCGCATAGTTTGTCCGGTCGTTCTTGACCTCGGAACGCTCGGAAAGTGGACCAGACGGGTGAGCCAGGCAAACAACCAACCACGCAAATCCTACCTTCTCTTGCCCCCCCCCCCCCGGTCTCCGATAAACCACACGGTTGTGGCCCTTTGACGACGGTTTTTACCGCAACAATGACCCACCATGGAACGGATTCTCAGGGAACCGTGGGCCATGCCCCCGTCCTCCTCGGCAACCTCCGCGGCGCAGCGGTTCAACATCCTCGCCGATCTCGGCATCTTTCCGCAAGATGCGGCGCAACCCGCCACTGGCGGGGGCGGCGGGGGTGCCGCGATTTCCTCCGCGGGGGGTGGCGCTGCGGATGGGGCGGCGGCGCGCGACGGCGGGGTCACTGCGGAAGGCCCAGTACGGCATGGTGCGTGGTGGGAAAGGGGGCAAGAAAGATTGTGTGTTGGTGTTGCCGTGCTGCTGTTACCCTTTGGTTGTATGATAAGTTTGGCCGTGTGTCGCAGTGTTCGTTTCATCTTGGCAGATTTCGGTGTGGTACAGACGTAGCCGCGTTTTTCTGCAAGTCTGGCGGGAGATGGCTCGTGTGTAGCCCGCGTCCGTCCTTGTTGTGTCGCTGTTGTTGCGAGACAATGTTAGGTCCGGCCTATGCGTACGAGTGTGGTATTATTAACGGACGAGAGAAGGGCAAGGGAGGGGATTATTGGAAGCGGCCGGGGGTTTGTCCTGCGTGGTACTGTAGCAATGTAGCAGGAGTGCTTGTTGGTGGGGGTCTTTTCGTTTCAAGCTCGTTTCTTGGACGAGGGGCTGACTTCCTTTTTCATTTTTGTCTCTCTTTGTCTCTTGTCTGCCTGCCGGTCTGTCTCTTCCCCTCTCTCTCCCTGTCTCTGACGCCCCCCCCTCTTTCTCGTGCGGTCTGCCGATTGCCGCTTCGGCGGCAGCAGCAGCAGCAGCAAGGCCGACCCGATCCTGGCGCCGATCTCTTGTCCATGCTGCATGACCAGTCCGCCGCTCACTCACAGCAGCAACAGCAGCTGCAGCAGCAGTCGAGGGAAGACGCCCAGGCATCCCCGCAGTCGCAGCAACAGCAGCAGCAGCAGCAGGCGCAACACCGGCAGCACCAGATCCTCATGCAGCAAGAGGCCCTCCAGCGGCGTCTTCAGGCCCAGCAGAGGGAGCTGCAGGTGAACTTTGAAGATAAACTCTTTTTTTTTTTCTCGTCGGGGTGTCGTTGTGTTGGGCCCCCTCCCCCCCGCCCCCCCCCCCCAACGTGTCACGTTTGTTGTTGTTCGCTGCGTTCTGCGGTGTGTGTGTGAGCCTTCTTGTCTCGTGGGAGCAAGGGCCAACGTACTTACTCGGATGGTGCAAGAGCTATCCGTGTGTATGTGTGTGTCACGTTTTGCGTCTCACGTTTTCCGCCCCACGTTTTCTACTTTTGCCGTGGGGGCCACCTTGGTATCTTGTAGAGTATTTTCTGGCAGAATTGGTCTCATCACGCCATCTTCTGTCTGTCAACTACGCTACGTCTACAATGTCCGTAGATACCAGCAGGTGGGTACCGTATTATCCTCCGGCCTTGCCCCGCCCTCTTGGTAGATCCCACGCCAGGTTGTTTCCCGTAGTGTCCTAAACCTTTTTTGTCATCTCCTCCTCTCCCCCCCCCGCATGGCCGTGCCGTCGCTCGCGCCTCGTTGTCCTGCGTGCGCCGTTGCTCCCGCGAAAGGTTAACGCGGAGCTCCTGCAGAAGCAGCAGGCGAGGCAGCTCGCGCAGCAGCAGCAGCAGCACCAGGAGGAACGCAACCGGGAGCACCTCCTCGAGCACAGCCAGCAACAGCAACAGGTAATGAATGACGCAACAAGTTTTGGGGGCGAGGGTTCGTGGGGGGGGGGGGGGTCTGCTACTCCGCCGCCGGTCTTGTTAGTCCACACGTGCACATTACTGGTACGGTAGTGGAACAGCAACGGGAGAAAGCAACAAAAACAGAAGAAACCACCCCCTTGGGTTTGTTGTTGTTGTTGTGTGTGTGTTCGTGTTTTCGTCCCATCTATTCTGGCGCCGGTTTACAGGCCTTTCGGCATATATGCCTGACGTATCAGCCAGGGTCAGACAAGAGGAAGGTCACACATTTTTTTTGTTTTTTGTTTTGTTGCCCCACCTTTCCCCACGAGGTGCTTGCCTGTGAGTTTGCGTACTGACAGAAAACGTCCAAAACCACTCATTGACTTACCCTCGCGGCCGCAGCGCTTGCAGCGGGAGGCGGAGGTGGCTCGGCTCCGCACGCTGCAGCAGCAGCAGCAGCAGCAACACCGGGAGCTGTACCAGCAGCAGCAACGGGCGCAGCAGCAGGCGCACCTTCTTCAGCAGCAGCAGCTCCAGAAGCAGCAGGCCAACCAGCTTGCCGAGCAGCAGGTGCAGAGCCCGCCGCATGTGCTGTACCCGGCAACACATGGATACCCCCCCCCCCCTCCTCCCCTCTCCTTTGGCAAATTTCGAAGGAACGATTGGAGATCGGTGATCGGTGCGAGGACGCGTGGTCAATGGTCTAATCGCTAAGGCATGCAAAACATAAGAGTACGCCCCCCTTGACCTCGCGTGTTTCCTTGTCGTCGTTGTTAATTATTATTTTTTTCGTGTGTTGTGTGTTTTCTGCCAATGTTTTTCTTCCAGCGCCAGGCCCAGCAGGCGGCGAGACACCTGACCCAGATGCAGGAGACCGCTCTCCAGGTGAATAGTGGGGGGGATGGCTGATGACGTGGACCGATTGTTGAGTTGAGCGAGATCGTGATCGAAGTTGATGTTGCCTATTTTTGCAGCATCGTACATGTGCAGACTATAGATGACGTGGGCGCTGCTGCTGTTGGACGGGTTGTTTGCAGTTCGGGGCTGCATGCACCCTACGCATAGCCAAGCGTGTTAGCATGGCTGGCGCCGATTTACAACCGTGCCAGCAGCGGCGGTGGCGGCCGCTGGTGATGGTTTTGCTGTTACGATGGCACCACCCCGAATGTATATTCGGAGAGAAAAACGCTGTGAAAAGTGTCTAGTTTGTCACGGGAAGCAAAATCCATTTATTTTCGAATAGCAAGAGCTTGTCGCTTGGGTCTTGCTCACGATAACTTTATTTGCCCTCCCAACCCCGTCCTCTCAAAGGACGGGTGGTCAATGGTCTAACCTCTAAGGCATGCAAAACGTAAGAGTACCCCCCCCCCCCCCCTCCCCCAATCTTGTGTGTTGCGTCTCAGGAGCGTTCTGATCGCCAACGTCTTGCCCTCGAGCAGGCCCAGAGGGAGCAGCTACGAGAACGCGAGCTGCGCGCTTCCTCCGCCGCGCGCGATCAGGCCCAACAGCACCAGGCGCAGCAGCAGCAACAGCTCCTGCTGCAGCAGCAGGCACAGCAGAGGAGGAGGCTCCAGCTGTTTGAGCAGCAGCAGCTGGCGGAGGCGGTGCGCGCGGAGATGCAGCAGCAACAGCCGGGGGATGGCTCGTCATCGTCATCGACGGCCCAACAGCAGCAGCTGCAGCAGCACCAGTTGCAGCTGCAGCAGCAGCAGCGGCAGCAGCAGCTCCAGCAGCTCCACCGCATGCAGCAGCAGCAGCAGCAGCAACAGCAGCAGCTGCAGGCGGCAGCGGCCGCGGAGGCTGCTGCGAGCGAAGCGGCCGAGGCTAGGGAGGCGGCTGCGGCTGCGGCCGCGGCGGCGGCGGCGGACGCGGCTCGCGGGGGGGCCGGCGGAGGGGAAGGGGGATCGGGGTGGTACTACCTAGACCCGCAGAATCGCATCCAGGGGCCGTTCGACGGGTCGGAGATGAGGCAGTGGTTCGAGGCAGGCTACTTTCAGGTGCTTTCATTTATTCTCACGGTTGCTTATGCGCTCCATGTGCAGAAGACTGAATGGACCGAATCGGTTCAACGAGTAAACAGTTTTCGCGTGTGTGTGTTGTCCTCCCGTTGATTTTTTTCGGGATATGTTTTGGGACGCGCCAGCCTGGGTCACGCGCGGGGAAGGCTACGCTTACTTTTTTCGTTTGGTCTGGATATATGCTCGGGAGTATTTGGTGTGTTGGTGTCTACCCAGACATTGTTTGGATGCGATTTGCTTCGTACCAAGGTTTAAAGGTATTTGGGTACCAGTGTGTTGCATCTCTCGCCAGAGATATTCGTCGGGGTGATGTGATCTGTGCCTGATATCGTGACGAACGAAGTGAACGGCGACTTTCAAACTGGGCAGATCGGATCGGATCGGATTGGAGCGGGTCGACCTTTGCGTTGCTTTTCCGCGAACGAGAGCTTGCAGAGTGTCGTCATGGCATGGTCTTTCCCTCCAATGCGAGGCCGGTGTCCACGCCAGCTTGAGTTAGTGTTCCGCGGGGGGTTCCGCGGGGGTTGGATCCACCCCCCTCTCCTTCTGCCCTCCCATCCCCACGCTCCCGTCCCCCCGTCCCCCTTCCCCTCTCTGCTGACGTGCAATGTGTTTGCTGTCAGCGCAACCTGCCCGTGCGGCGCGGCGTGACGGGGGAGTTCATAGCCTTGGAGAGGCTTTTTCCTGGGCAGGGAGCGACGACGGCCTTCTTGGAGGCCTCGCGGGGCGGCAATGGCAATGGCAACGGTATCGACAACAGCAACAGCAACAGCAACAGCTATCATCGCCAGGACGCGGTGAGAAGGGTGACAGGGACGGTTTTCTGTGGAACGAGAAAAGGGGTGGGATCTGAGAAGGGGTATTGTACGGAAACGGGTTCGGAACGAAATGGGGGGATTGTGATGTGTTTTGAATGGATGGGGTACATGGTCCACATGTACCGTGCTGGTGCGCGTGTATGAATCGCTCGGGGCTCGGGGCGTTTTTTTTTTTTTTTTTTGCGTGGCGAGGTGTTTTTGTTGAGGCGACCGTTCTCTTCCTTGTTGTCGCCCTGTGTGTCCAGTGGTCGACTCGTGCGTTTTGATGCAACTTGGTCATGTTTTCGTCCCTTCTGTTCAGGCGCCAGTCTACACACCTACCGCTTTACCGGTGCCTATGTTTGACGTAGCAGTCGGGGCCGCACAGGAGGAAGGTGGAGTTTTTTTTTGTGTGTGTGTGTTGCCCCACCTTTCCTCCTTGGGTAAATAGTTGACCAAGACTTAGACTAAGACTTCCAGTACTTCTTATCGATGTGGCTAAATATCCTCTGTTGGTGACGATGTCCTTCTTATGTCTCTTTCCGGCAGCAGCAGCGGCAGCAGCAGCAGCAGCAGCAGCAGCAAGAGCAACAGAGGCGGATGTCCCAAGAATCTGAGGAAGCCGCCATCCAGCAGCAGAAGCAGCAGGTCTTGAGGCAGCAGCAGCAGCAGCAGCAGCAGCAGCAGCAGCGTCAGCAGCAGGAGGATCAGCAACAGCAGATGCTCCTCCAGAGGCAGCAGCAGCAGCAACAACAACAAATGCTTCTGCACGAACGAGAGCAGGCGCGGCAGTTGCAGCAGCAGCAGCAGCAGCAGGCTCAGCAGCAGCGCGAACGTGAACAGGTGCGCTACAAAGAATCTCGGATACAGTGTGTGGTAGTTCTGGTGTCATCATCACCAAAGGGCGCGCCCGTTTTTCGGCGCCGTCTCTCATGACTGCGATTGGGTGAGCAACTGCTGCTACCGTAGGTGACGTTAGATACCACACCCCCGTGTGACCGATTTTAAGACCACGGAGTACGGCATCTCCACGACGACAAAGGGTGTCCGGTGTCCGAACCAATCGATACGTTTGCAGCAAACTCTTGACGAGACAGTTCCAATGTGGCCATGCCTACGTAGCGCCACCACTATTTTCATGCTGAGCTTTGATGATCGATCGGTCCAGAGGACGTCATGTTTTGTGGGGCCAACCACGGTTGGTTGCCGACGGTTCACCGGCTGACCGCCGCTCCAGGCCCGGCAGCAGGGACACTGCGAGTTGCTGGTTCGCTCTAAGTGGTGGTGTACAGCGGTCCGTGTACGATAGATGGTGGGTGTTGTTGCGCCTTGCTCGTTCGTATTT